AAGGTCGGTGTGGGCCAATGTCCCCGTGCCCGCCAGCCAGGCAGCCCCCAAGGGCCTCTTGAGGTGGTGGAGCCAAAGCTCCGGCATGGGGCATCTCTGCCCTCGGGAAGGCAGCGCTCCCTGCTCCTCAGCCCGGGCTGGCGGCCGCGCGGCAACGTGACACTCTCAAGAGCGCGCGCTCCGCTTGCCGCGGGGGAACATTAAGCAGAGCGGGTGCTGCCGTTGCTTAACTCGCCTCTGCCCGGGGACCATAAAAGGTGATCGCGGCAGGGAGCCTCCTCGGAGCGGTTCCCGAGGCGCAGGAAGCGCTGCCGGCGGCTCCGCGGCGGCGCCGCCTGCCCGGCAGGCCAAGCAGGACAAGGCCGGGGGCAGGACGAGGACGCAGTGACCAGCAGTGACCGCGCGGGGCGGGCGGGCAGCGGCGCGGGGGTTTTGGTGCCGTGGGGCCCGTGGCCCAGGTGGCCGCTCCATGCCCAGCAAGGCCCGAGCGGCCCCTTCCTCACGGCCGCGCTGCCGCTCAGTGCGGGATGCGGCGGGACCTGAGCGCAGGCTGCACGCGGAGCGCCGAGCCCTCCCTGCGGAACAATCCCGGGAGGAAGGAAACGTTGGAGCATCAGGGCCCTTCCCAGGAGGCAACTCCCGGGAAACACCAGGAGCCTCGCGGAGCAGAGCCCAAACGCAGGAGCCCAGCGCGGGCTGCGGGCTGCACCCTCTGCCCCCGGCATCCCGCCGGGCAGGGCCCAGGGCCGCGGGCCGGGCCGGTGGCGCTCGGCAGGCACCATCCGGCTGCTCGCGCGGCCAGGCACACAGATAAGCGGGAGCTGCTGCCTTATCGCGCCCGGGGGCCTGGGCTCAGGGCCCGTTCTGTGCCGCGGAGCAGAGGCCCCGCCGGGACCAGGCGGACGGGGAAGGGGCAGCACGGTGGGAACGAGCCTGGGGCCCCCGCAACCCTTCCAAGGGCACCTCTCGGTGCCCGCGCTGCCCTCCCTGTCCCTGTCCCTGTCCCTGTCCCTGTCCCTCCCGCCCGAGGCGCTGCCCGCGGAACCTGGCACCTCCAGCAGCGCAATCTATTGCAAAACCCAGTGCTGACGCTTAACCCATCAGCCAGCGCCCCGGGGCGCTCGGAAACCCGCGGCAGGGCACAAGCAGCGTCAAGGGCGGCCCCGCGGCGAGGAGCAGCCCGGGCCCCTCGGGCTGCCGCCCCGCGTCCCTCACCTCGCTTCAAGGTCCATCTCTTCCTCCAGCGCTTGGAGAACGACGGCCACGAGTGGTTCAGCAGCGAGTCGGACATCGGGGAGCCCCCCCCGGCAGCGGCGCGGCGCGGCGGGCGCCGAGCGGGGCAGAGCGCGGCGCGGACTCAGGCAGCGCCGCCGGCTGCAGCCCAGGGGCTGCCAAGGCGGGAGCGGAGGAGCCAAGTGTTGTGTCAGAAGCATCAGCTGATGGAAGCCGTAGCCAGGGAGAAATTCCTGGTCTCCGGTTCCCACCTGGGAGTGGGTCGGGGGCTTCCTGCGGTGCGGTCTGGGGATCGGCGGCACCAGCGCCCTGAGCACCCCCCGACCCCGGTCCGGGCTGGCGCGGGGGGCAGAACGGAGCCGTTGACGCGTCGCGCGGTGGCACCTCCGCGTCCTGCCGGTGACTGTCGCGCGTCAGCCCGAGCGGGTGTCACCCTGAGGCCGGTGCCGCCCAGCCCGGCCAAGCGGCGGTTCCGAGCAGCCCACGGTCCGGCCGCGAGGGGAGGCCCCAGGCCCCGTCCCTGTGCGGCGCTCCGCAGCGGCTGCTCCTCGGCAAGGACCTTTCTCCGGGTGCTTCCCAGCCCCTCTGCGCTCTCACGCACACAGAGGCTGCCTCCGAACTGCCCAAATTCGCCTTCCCCACCCGGGCTTCCCCCTTCTGTTTGGCAGCAGCCCCAAGGCAGCCCTCGGCGGGGCTGGGGAGGCCGGTTTGGGCTCCCAGGGGACCTGTTTTGCCCTCAAACACACACGGAGGGGCAGCCCAAGCAAAACCAACCCCTCATCCTTCTCCTTGCGGGCTAGCCGCGTCCCCGCGAGGCCTCACGCAAGAGGAGCAGCCGCGGGACAAGCTGGCGCCGAGGACACTTACCCCGCAGGCCGGTGGCATCTCCGCGACGAGCGTTCCCGGCGCTCGCTCCGGACGGCGGCGCCGCCGCAGGGAGCAGCCGCTCAGCGGGGCCGCTCCGGCCCGGCCCTGTCACCACTTCCCCTTTCCGAGGGTGCCAGCAAAGCCGCCCGTCCCATCGCGCGGGCCCCGCGGCCGCTGCCCCCTGCTCCCTGCGGCGCCGGCGCCTCGAGCGGAGCCGCGCGGCCCCGAACGCCGGCACGGGAGCCGGGCGGCGGCCGCACGCCGACGGCTGCGGGGCCAGCGCCCACCGCAAGCGGCTTCCTCTTCCGTTCGGGGAAGAGCCGCCGCGCGGCCTGCGAGCGTCGCGGGAGCCGCGGGACAGTGAGGCCTGCGCCGCAGCCTCCGTGCTCGGGAGCTGCCGCTCCCAGAACAGAATCCCAGGATGGTTGAGGTTGGAAGGGACCTCTAGGGATCATCCAGTCCAACCCCTGCTCCAGCAGGGACACCCAGAGCAGGGGGCACCCGGGCACATCCAGGTGGGTTTGGGAGACCTCCAGAGCAGGAGCCTCCGCAGCCTCCCTGGGCAGCCTGGGCCAGGGCTCGGGCACCCTCACACTGCAGAAGTTCCTCCTCACGTGGAGATGGGGCTGCCTGGGGTTCAACTTACACCCATTGCCCCTTGTCCTGGCACTGGCCGCCACTGGGAAGAGTTTGGCCCTTTCCTCCCTACATTCCCCTTCAGGTCCTTGGACACATTGATCAGATCCCCTCTCAGCCTCCTCTTCTCCAGGCTGAAGAGGCTCAACTCAGTCTCTCCTCATACGAGAGATGTTCCATTCCCTTCATCACCTTTGTTGCCCTTGAGGAGCTGCAGAGGAAACCGAGGGCGACGGCGGAGCTCAGGCCCTGCCTGTGGCACAAGCAGGCAGAGCCCCGGGCATCACCCAGCACCGGGCACCAGCACCGTGTGCCGCCCCGGCCGGGCCGTAACTGGAGCGGGAGCCGCTCCCGCTCCAATTCCTCGGAGACCGCCGCTTTGGCAGAGCACGGCGTGGCAATTACCTCCAGGAAACCGCAGGAGCGGGCAGGAATTAGCCCTGCCTTTCTCTGCGCTCCACAAGAGCTCTATGAGGATCAGAGGGCAGGGCTGTGCCCGGCGGTGGAAGGACGACGGCCCCACTCCCAAACCCTGTCAAATCCCCCCGGGTTGTGTTGCTCCCCTGTGGTAAGAGGAAGCCAGGCGGAGCGCGGCGGGGCCGAAGCGCCGCGGAGCTGCCCGGTGCCACGTCCCGCTCGGTTCCCGAGGCGCTAGATGGCATCAGCAGAGCGCGGAGCGAGCGCTCCCGCCGCCCCCCAGTCATTGCACGAGCGGCAGCAACCGGCTCCGGGGGTCCCGCCGTATCTGGGGCCTGGGAGGAGCTGGTGACGAGGCCTGGAGAAGGAACCATGAAGCTCCAGATGTTAATTCCACCACCTGCATTGCCGTAAAACATCCCCGCTGCCGCCGAGCCCCGCAGGGAGCAGCGGCAGAGGCAGCCAGGACGCAGCCCTGCTCTGTCGGAGCCTGCTCTATAGGAGCAGAGCAGCAAAACACATCGAGGTGGAACCCAGTCGCCCCTCCTGCAGCCTCTCGGTGCTGCTCATCAGGAAGGAAATCTCACCCTCAAAAACCAAACCTGCAAAAACCCTCCCAGAAAACAACTGCCCGAGAAGAAAGGTAGAGCGAGGAGCGATCTTACCCCGCGAGAGCCGCCTGACACAGAACGGGAGGCGAGAGGGGTTACTTACCACCACTCATTTTGTAACTGCAAGTAGTGCTTAGCCAAGATACCAATTTCTTTCTTTCTCGGTGGCAAAGCCGCTTCCAGGGCTGCGCAGACAGCAGACAAAATGAACACAGTTATTCCTGGATCATTTATTCAGAATTTTAATATAAACAGTTAATCATTCAATATTCAGACACACAGATTTTTTTTTTTTCTTCTTAATACTCAAAGATTTTTTCTGTACACGTCACTGCTTGGCTCTTACATATGAAAACATTGAAAAAAAAATTTTTTTTTTCCTTTTCCTTAGTTTTGAAACATGGCACATTTGATCCTTCAGTTCCATCACGAGGTATCTGCGACAGTGTCTGGAACCTTAAAAACACAGCGCGAAAGGCAGGAGCAGCAACGCAACCCCCCGCAGCACCACGTAACCCAAGTATTGATTTAAGGTGCAAGAGGAACCGCGTCTGCTTGGGGTGTTGGTGGGGGTGAAACTACCGGGCAGCACCACCGCCTTCCTCAAGCACAAACTGCCCTGTGGCTACTTGGAAATAATCGCGACGTTGCCCAAGCTAAAGCAAAAATGGTGCTTTTTTCTTTCTCAATAATGTTCCAATTTTTCACGTTTAGAAGTGGCTTTTATGTGACAAATAAAGCAAATGTCCCCAGTGTGCGTTGGGCAGCTCTGCTGGGCCTTGCCTTGGGATAAGCAGCCAAAAAGGAGGCTGGATGGCACGAGGCCACGAAGCCAACGCAGATTCCACCCTGGAATGTGTCCGGCCGAAGCACTCGGACACCGAGCCCGAGGTGCCTTTGCCATCCGCAGGACTCAAAACTCAAGTCTTGGCCAGACAAAACCAGGGCCATTCCCCGGACACCGGCTCTATCCATAACCACGTCCACGTTCCCACTGCGCCGATGGCTCCTTTGAATTATTCCAGGGCAACCTGGAATTAATCCTTTGAATTATTCCAGGGCAACCCTGGCTCCCACAAAGACTTTCCGGATGAAGCAAAAGGAACCATTAATCCAGCACCACCAGACGGAACAACACACTCAGAGCCAAACAACTACCAAAACCATGTTCTTTTTTTGCCAGCATAATTGGATCAGCAAGAAATAACAGCACCACCACCACAGAAGTTAATACTACCTTTATTATACAATATTTAAAAAGTCATTTTTTCTACCTGTCCCCTTATAGCTTGCATTGTGCTGCAGTCGATTTGCGGAAACTGCCAGAATAAGTGCTTACTTTTGAAAAGGACAAGCGATTTTATTTTAAAAAGTAATACACATTTCATGACAGCAGATTTGATAAAAACGGTAGCTTTTTGATTGCTTTCGATAGTCCGATTCCTCGCCCAAAGTTGATTTTACTCGTGGCTTCGGCCTTGTGATGCTCGTGACAAGGCGAGCCAAGACGGAGCAGGTCGAAGCACCTGGACGCTCTTACACCGACGCTCACGTACAGCATCCGAAGCAGAGTTAACACAGAGCCAAGCAGAAGGTCGTAAAAAGGCCAGATTTAATTAATTAAGTTCGTACAAACCTCAGCTAATCTCACGCCGAATTTCACATGTTTCTGAATTACTAGTTCTCCATCGCAATCCATTGCATGGCTCCTTTCCCCGGGAAAGACGCGCGGGGACCTACGAGGGACCTCGGCTGCTCCGGAGGGGAAGGAGGCTGGGATGCGGTCGGAGGCTCCACGGCCTCGGAACCGATCCCAGGAGCAGCGAGCCCAGCCCTTAGCCTCAGGTTTTATGGCACAAAGATCCTGGTTTATTTTCTGGTGGGTGAAACAAGGTTCCAGTGTGGGACCTGTCTTTTCCTATTCGCTTTCATCACATATTCAGCTCAACACACGACAAGCAACTCTGAGATTTTCCCAAGGAGATACCAACGTCAGATGCAACACACTAATATTAAGCAAAACGTCCCATTACTATAATAAAAATTGAGGAGGAAGGAGAGAGACCACCCATAAATTAAGAGTACCCTTTAGCAGTCTAAGAGCAGCCTCTTCAAACCAACGGCTGCTCTGTCATCAAAATAGCACTGGGGCAGCTCGGGCTGCTTCCTAGGGCGTTTCTGACCCGGCGCAGGGTTTCTATCGATGAGCTCCTCTATTTTACAACACAACAGAGTATTTACAAGCAACCATGAAAAAGGTGGTTTTAATGCAGCAGCCAAGCTCTGCAATGCTGCGCTGCAAGAGAAGAACGAGACCCACGAGAGGCGCCCACGAAGCGGCCGCTCAACGGACGCACGTTCCTCAGAAACCTCTCCCGCGTCACACTCCGAAGAAAAACACGGCGGAATAGTTGAAATATTCAAATATTTGCTCGGTGGAAAGAGTTTCTGGCGCTTCCTGCTTTGGAGAGAGCCGAGTTCTGGCTCTTGGGTGGCTACTGTCCCTCGTCGTGCCCAACCGCACGCGGGAGGCCCTGACTCCTCCTTGACGCCTTCGAGGCTCTGCCCCGTGATGCGGGTGGGAAGTTCTCAGCTGCCCTCGTGCCAAGGGGAGAATCCAGCCCCCCAGCAAATGTCATCTCAAGAAAAGAAAGAGTTTCCCACCCGCCGGGCAGAACTGCCTCCTCCAGCCACTCGAAGGGTTCCCTGCACTGCGTCCGGCTCCTCATCCCACAGGAGCTCAGGCTTCATCCCAACAGGGATCTTGTCCAGCTGGAGAGCAGCAGCTCCCCCGGGAACGGGGCAGCCCCCCGGTGCCCGACGCCCTTTCCTGGAAATTAATTCCGGGTAATCCCAAGAGGAGGTTTCAGCTAACGGACGCAAGGACAACTTGGGCACAGGACAACTTGGGCACAACCCCTCTTTTCCCTCAACAGGGAGCAGCAAGATCTGAGCACAGGACCCCTAGGGCAGAGAGCTGCCAACAGAGACCAAAGCATCAAGCGTGGGCTGAAAAGCTCAGGATTTTCCAGAAGTGAGAGCCTAATTCTTTAGCTAGGTAAGTGTTCTCCTTAAGCCATGAATGGCAACAACTAGTGTTAGCTTTTGCTTTGAAAGGAACTCGCTGCGGGGAAAAGTGCTCTTCTTACCACTAGTACCATAGGTCTTTCCTCATCCCTTGTCCAGTGATCTGAGCGTTGCGTTTCTGCCAACACCGAGGGCCAACCAATATCAATTCAGCTTAAAAACCTGACTCAATACAAGGTTCCAGTTATGATGGCTGCGATTTTAAATCTTACCAGAATGACTGAGAAGGGGGAGAAGGTTGTTTTAGAAGGTCGGTCGTGCCTTGCTGGCATCTCTCCTGGTTACCTGTGCCTAGCAAGAAAGGCACGAGACCGAGACCCAGATTGGAGCAGATCAACAAGACTAATCACAGTCCCTGGTCCACACTGACAACTACAGCTGCAGAATATCAGAGCATCCAGCCGTCTATTCCTTTTAACTCACTAATTTCCAAAAATCCTAGCATTTAAATGGCTTTATTTATTTCTGTTTTAATTCACAATGGAATTAAGAGGATGAGACCAGATCCAAATGGTTTGTCATGCACGTGAACCTGCAAAGAGGTTCCCTTGTTCACTGCAGCTCGGCTTAACGATGAGCAGTGACCAGCTGTTCTCTTGCCCATTCCCTGAATGGTCCCTCGTATTGGAATCAGCCAATACTGATTTTTTTCCCTAATCCACAATAGGTCCAGACCAGAATATTTTAACAAGTTTAGAGGTGCGCAGTATTAAAAATATCCTTAAGAAACACTGAGGTAGACTGCACCAGAACAGGACGACAACAATCCCGCCATATCCACCTGCTGAGTTTTTATCACTACGAATTGACACGTTCCGTGTGTTTAAGAAAACAAATAGTTTGGTTTTTCTTTTTTACAGTGTTTTATATATTAAAATAAATAAAAAATTTCTAGTAAGAAAAACTTCTCTTTAGAAAAGTGTGAGAATATGTCTTCTTTCCTGCAGTGTAGCACAGAGCGGCTAAACAGCTACTACTTGGTAAAGCAGAAGAAATGTAAACGAGGCCTTTAGAAATTGAAGATTCTTAACCCCACCTCTGAACTGTCTGATTTGCCCCCTAATTTGTGAGCAGGCTTTTTGTACCGTCCACCTTGGTTCGAGCGGCCCAGACTGAACCCCATGTTCCTCGTGGAGCCCGTGCTCCTCGGAGAGCCCATCCTATTGGGTTTAAGCACAGCTTGGCTGGAGCAGAGCAGGAGCCGAGAGGCGTTGCCCGTCAATCCCAACCCTGCTCCGTTCGCTTATGGGGAGAAAGCCATAAAAAGCCACACGCCGGCTTTGTGTGGCTTCCCACTCACACCAAGTTGGGAAAAAAGCTCATTTTCTCCCAGCAGAGGGAACAAGCAGGCATGCTCTTTTTCACTGGACTTCTCCAAGAGAAAATAGGGATAAATTGCGGAAACTCTCCCCTTTTAAAAGCACCTCCTGCACAGCCATGGCCTGTGGCGTCTCCAATGCTCCTTTCCTGGCTTAACACCTGCCCCCCGTCACCGCGGGACACCTCGAGCTTCGCAGTTACCGCCCAACGCCTCGCGCTCGTCAGCTCTGTCCTTAGGCCAGGAGCAGCAAAGCGGCGTCCCGAGGATGCAGCTTAACGCCGTGAAGAGTGGCGCGCGACCCGGCCTGGTGCAGGCATCTCGGCCAACCCCGGCAGAGCCGCAGGCAGCGCGCGGCCGGTGGCAACGGCGCCTAACCACAGCGCCCAGCAGCTCCCGCTTCGCACGCAGAGCCTTGGGCTCTCCCCCTTCACAAAGCGGGGTTTAGTGTCTCTCTTGGTTAGTCTTCGCTTTTCCCCTTGCCGCTTCCCCACACGACGCACGCGGAAGGCACAGCCAGCGGAGCGGCCGGGCTGGGGACAGGGCCATGCCGGTGGCCTCGAGGCCCCAACAACCACCTCAGCCCCAGCTACTTTACCTCAGGGCTTCGACTGGAGCCAGCTGACTGCGTTCTATAAATCACAAAGCTGTTGTTATAAAGCCTTGTCAAGTAGAAACTTAACATGTGCTTCATAGTTCCTAAAAGGGGCATCGGCTAAAATTAGTTCATTCTGAAATCTTTGGACCACTTTAAGACCAAACAAGCCCCCCCAGATTCTACCCTCCCAGAAAGGATCATAAACAGTTAATAATTTATATGAAGTTTAAATTTAAACTAAAGACATTTTTAAATATGTTACAACAAACAATATATATACTCAAGGCTGTAAAGAACAGAAAAGTTGGTATCGCAGGTCAGGGGACTCCTACCTCGTTTGGTCTTGAAAGGACCCACAAATCTCAGATTTCTGCTCCTTTGGCTCCCAGCACATTTTCCTCATTTGATAATGAGAGAAAACCTACTCCCAAGAGTCCTTAGTATAAAAATAATCTGTTTAGGATTCAGTCACTCCAGGGAAATTGGGGGGAAGATAAGTACACACTTCTGAGAAGAGGAAAGCTTCTGTGAGAACATACAAAACTTATGTACAAAAAAGAAGTGTATATTTGGATATACATATACACCCCACATACATATACTGCACACACGCACGCACACACACGCACCCTTGGGGTTTAACCCATTTAAAAAGTTATGAAAGCAGCAGCTATTGGTCAATCTGAGGCCTTGGCGCGTCCCAACGGGTGTTCAGATCCTTCGGCTGTAGCAAAGAGGATGCCCGAAAGGCTGGAATTCTCCTGGAAATGCTTTTGTCCGGCAGCCGTCTGGTTCCACGCCGCTACGTTTAGCTCAGATCCCAGCGAATTTCATGTCTCCTGTTGGCAAACATGGATGCTCCTCCTTGAGCTTTAACTTAAAAAAAAAAAGGTCACTTCCTGTTTTGAAACCATGGTTACGCAGGGGCCAGCAGCCATGGAAACCTTTTCCATTTATGTTCACAGATAAGTCCACTGAGAACCAGTCAACTTGGCAAAACAAACAAACAAAAAAAGTATTAATCATAAGATGATTAAAAATCTGAAGTTTGTCGATGTGTGTCATACACTGTGGCAGCAATAAGAAGAGTCCTGAGATTTGTGAAGGGGGGAAAGAAGCAGACACAACCCTCGGGCCCAACGGGAGGTGTTAGGAAGGACTTGACCTGGGCATGGAGAGAATCCGCCCGTTTTTCTTGCCACCGTTCATGTGAGTGTAAGGTATGTGCTCTTCGTAGTTGCCCTTGAGGGCCATGGAGGGGCCGTCGTCCCGGCCCAGCACTTTGTCCCTCTGCGAGTATGAGGAGGGATCGAGGGGAATGCTCTCCATGTTCTCAAAGTCCATCTCGTACTCCTCCGTTTCCAGAGGCTTGTTCTCCTCGCTGTAGAAGAAGGAGACCTCGTGGAAGCTGGGGTGCAGGTCCTCCTTCAGCATCTCGATGATCTCTATGAAGGTGGGCCTCATCTTGGGGTTGTACTGCCAGCACATCTGCATCAGGCTGTGCCTGCACCGAGACAAACAAGCGTCAGGGTCGGCAGGAACAGCCCACACGGGCAGGACTGCCACAGACCAACACTCGTGGCCATGTCAAACCACCCACAACAGGCGCTCGGTGCCCCGACCCTCCTGAGGTTGTGTTTGCTCTTTCTTTGGTCTCCATTTTTGCCTGGAGATCCTTTTCCCACTCCTTTTCCCGCTCCTTTTGCCACTGTTTCTGTCTAAATCAACTATGCTTTCCAATTGCTTCAATTGTTCCCAACGTGGCTTCCAAAGGAAGCAGAGCCGTTGCTCACAGATTCTAGGCAGGCCCACACATGCTAACAGCCCCGTCCCCATTTTTTCATTCATTGACTAATTACACCTCAAAGATAACGAATTTGCAGAACTTTCAAGGAAAACAGAGGGTCATGCCCAGGACAGAAGTCCCATAAACATCCCACCTACAAGGCAGACTGCAGCAAGAGGTCCCATGTCATGGGGCACCCTGAGGAAAGAAATTACAAGTGTCTTGAGTACAAATAAACTTTCAAACTGGAGTTTGGAAGTAGCTCCCAGAGAAAAGGCCCCAGGAGAGCAGGTTTTTATCGTAAGGATCCTCACAAAACATGTTTATTTTTGACTGTGGAGCTGGACATCCTGTTTTGGCTGAAGTGGGTTAGGGTAAGAGGTCACTGAAGGCAGCCAGTGACTCTCAGCATTCCCCATTCCCAGGCAGGGCTCCTTCCCCTCATCTCTGCCTCCTGCTTCCTTGTGGCTCCATATACCCCTTCTGTCACCACCCCAGCTCAGGTTAAACACTTAATAACAAGATTTTTTTTTTTACTCTGACAGAAGCAACTTAGGGAGCATCTGGGTGTGCGGGTCCAGGCATGTCCCCGTGAGCAGCTGGGGACGGCAGCCCTCTACTCAGCACAGGCAAGCGCCCGGCTCCGGTTTCTAATCCTCTTTTTAAGGTGTTTTTCCCTGAGTCTCCACACGGTTCCTTCTCTGTTTTCCTCTCAGCTTGCAGACAGCCCAGCCTGGGTCTCCTAAGTGGAGCAATTAGTCTGCCCCAGAAACGAAGAGGCTGCAGACACGATAAACAGCTGCGGGCTCTGCCAAGCGCTCCCTTACCTTTACCTTCTCATTAGCCATCAATCAGGTTTCTGGAAATTTGCAGTTAAACGCTGTAATTCTCAAGGCAGTGCAATACCAAACTACTTACGTAGGACACAGGGATGATTTACGCAAAGCCTCAGCAGACCTCGGATTAGCAAGCTGCTTTCCAGCCTCTGCAGCCACGTGGACGCAGAGCGTGGCCAGGCCCTGCTGCGGTTATAGACGTAAACTGCCACTCACCAGCGTGTGCAAGAGCAAGAGCATTTAGTTTGGGGCAACTAGTCCATACCTACTAGTAGTTTCAGCTTTTCCTATGCTTTATAGGTCATTCTCTTGAGCCTGGACTCCTGATACAAGGTCCAGGCTGGTTTTATTTCTCCCTGCTAGGGAAAAACGCTTGCTTGGGATTCTAGCTTTAACTCCTGGCTCTCCGAGAACATCTTGGTTGCATTTCTCGGACAGGCAGCTCCCTGTGTTCTGCTTTGTTCTTCCTGCAGAGCAGAGCCTAGGAGCTACCACCTCTGTAGGCCACACTGCAGCTGAAAGAGGGCAGCTCTGTCATCACCACCTGCTTTAACACCTCTTTAACACTGCTTTAATGCTGCTTTACAACTTACAGCCTCTCTGGGCAGTTGTCTGGCTGATCCAGGTAGCCTCCATCCATCACAAACTTTAGCACCTGTTCGTTGGAGAGTCCCTGGTATGGCTGCTCTGCCAAGCTGCTTATTTCCCAAAGGACAACACCAAATGACCTAAGGAAAAAAGACAAGATTTCTAGTAAGACTACTTAAAGAACAAGTATATTTTTAGAAAGGCAATAAAATCCAAACGAGGTTTTGCTTTGTATTCTGAAGAAGTCAGAATTCTGGCAGAATTCAGCTTGGCAGGCAGAGCACAACTTACCAGACATCTGAATAAGTAGTGAAAACACCATCCTTTAGTGACTCAGGTGCCATCCACCGCACCGGCAGCAGTCCTTTGCCTCCCTTTCGGTAATAATCTGTCTCATAGATATCTCTGGTCATACCAAAATCTGAGAAAAAGATTAGGATGTGTTAGGCTTCTGCATTGAGCTCAGTTGCTTAACTGATGGTTACTGAGAGAAACTTGAATGGTGGCCGTGTTCTTTTTTTGAACTTTAAGGCCATGATAAAGAAGCCAGAGATGCAACTTTTAGTTATGGCATCCAGTCTAATCATATTCGTTCCCTTTAATTAAAACAGGGCTCCTTGCTGCGTTTCCAAACGGAGACAGTGGAAACCACATGCGTTTCCAAACAGAGACAGTGGAAACCACGTGCATTTACAGCATTGGCCTTGAATTTTGTAGAGCTGTCTTTTCAACAGATATGACTCACAGAATTACCGTCTAAATGTATGCTACATACCTCCAATTTTTACAGTGAAGTCTTCTGCAACCATACAGTTTCGAGCTGCAAGATCTCTGTGGACAAATTTTTTGGCATTCAGGTAGGCCATGCCATCAGCAATCTCTGCAGCCATTTGGATCATTTCCCTTAGCGTGGGTGGTGGACGACCAGGGTTATTCTACAGAAGACAAATATTAGAATAAATATTATCAAGCCAAGTTAGTCTGTTACATTATAGTGTCCCCTTCCTCTCCTGCCTTTACCTCAGCGTCAGGTCTCAAAGAGCGAAGGTAGCTCTTCAGATCTCCGTGTGCCATTAACTCCATGACCACTAGAGTAGGTTGCCCTTTGGAGACAACCCCGAGGAGGCGAACCTGGAAAACAAATGAGTTTCCTTCGGGATTGTGTCCGAACACACTGGGCAGAGTCCAGCTATGAAAACAGAGGGTTACCAGGGAGCCCAGCCTGCCCCGAGGAGCCCCACAAAGCTCTCACATAGAAGCCTTGAAAGAGCAGAGTGAAACAATGCAGACAAATAAACATGTTCTATAAGAAACACAAGACATGGAAAGATCCCAGCTCTTCTTGATTAGTTGTCTCTTTCAGAAGGGCTGCTTTTGTAACCTGCATATCAAGCTTCAGAAGCATTAAATACATTATAAATACATTTTATATATATATATATATCTATGTGGTGAGACTTCCATGGCTATGGAAAAGCACGCAGAGTTGCTTACCACATGATGGCAGCTGAAGCCTTTCATCACAGAAGCTTCGTTCAGGAACTCAATGCGCTCCCGGAGGCTGGCTGATTCATTAACAGTTTTTACGGCGACACGAGTCTCTGGCTCTCCCTTCACTATGTCCTTGGCAATCCCTTCGTACACCATGCCAAAGGAGCCCTGGCCCAGCTCTCGCAGGAGGGTGATCTTGTCTCGAGGAACTTCCCACTCGTCCGGGACGTAAACTGTTAAACACAAAGAGACATTTTTGAGAATGAGATTTCTGTAGCACTGCCATGGGTCACTGTGGATGTGAACTTCTCAAAATAAAGGCAAAAAAATAATCCATAAAGGATAAAGTCAACCCTGTATTGTTGCACTGACTACAGAAGCAGCACAGACAGCACTCATTGCTCTCACCGTCACTGGCACTGAGGTATTCGGGGTTAGAGGATGCATAGAGCGGCCCAGTTGGTCCTTCAGTTTGTCTGGAAGAGAGAGAGAACCTTTTGGTGCATCTGCAGTCTGATGCTTTTGAATTTAAGGCAGTCTCTTCATTCCCAAAGCATACAGCAAATGTAAAGTGAGCCAGTTTCCAAAAGCACAGTTGTATTTCCTAAACTAATGTTCAAATCATGATCTAAATAGAGAATAAATTCCATAGAGAATTACTTCTAACATGGATAAAAAGAAAAACCTTTGGATACAAGTTGTATTCATTCATATATGAGATTGTACTCACCTCTTTTTCACAAGCACATAGGCAGCTCCAATAATTCCAGCAAGTATTATTGCAAAGATGATCGGAACAATTATAACGGCAATATTAGGCTGAGCATTCACTAGGAGAGAAAGAGAGAGTTAAAGGGATTAGGCCTCAAAAGGCAAGTCTTTTCCTGAGTAAAATCTGCCCCTTGAATACACAGGAATGAACATGAAACTAGAGGCTGCTTCAGTTGCAGAGTGCAGAACTGCTCAGAACAAGAACGCAGTTCAACAAGGAAGGGAAAGCAACCGACACACTCCTAAGCATTTTCAGTTTCTTGAAAGCAGGTGTTTTACTAGAGTTTTACGCCCCTCTATATCCCCATGTGCTCCTTCTAAATCCCCATCTTCCGTCAATAATCCAGGTTTCTGGCAGCAACTAAATGTCAGGGAAGAAAGGAAGAGAAACCCAAACTCACAATAATCAGCCACGTAGAAATAGGCAGGCTCCGTCCACGAGCCGTTCCCAGCCAGCGAGGTGGCTCGGATCCGGACGCTGTAGTTCCCGGGCTGCAGTCCACGCAGTTTGCAGCCCTGCTCGCTGGCAAAATGCTTGCGGGAGACACAGGAGTGGCCTTCCTGTGGACAGAGGAAGAGGCAGATGAGTTATGCAGCCTCCGTGGCGATCTGGAGGCTGGTAGGGGCCTCACAGGGTCTCCTCCTCGCTTGGCAAACATGCACAAGGAGCGCTCTGCACGCCCGGGTCTATTCCCCTGGACTGGTTCGTCCTGGATTTGTGTTTTATAGTTTCAGAAGCTGAGGTGACACTGAAGTGTTGGCCCTGTGTTTTGCTCCGTGTCAGCCCTGAAGGCCAGGCCTCCTGCCCACGCGGCGCTGCCTGTCTGCACTGGGCTGCCCCGAAGGGCTTTAAAGAACTGAAATTTCCACCTGTGGAATAAGAAGCACTTGCCCCTAGGCAGCAAGTGCCGCCTTGAAGAGCATCTGTTCTTCCCAAACAAGCTCAAAGCCATGCCCGGGGCTAACCCTAAAGCGAGGAAATACCCAGCCACAGCCCAGCGATGCCAGAAGTGACACAAGAACACAGAGGAAGGCAGAGGAGCCTCTGCAAAACCAGCTCCCAGCCTCCCTCCTAGCGTTGGCGTCGAAGGAAGCGGAGCACAGAGCTGCTCCTTCCTTAACTGAACACAATTCCTCACCTCAGCCTCCCCAAGACGTCCGTAGCTCACTTCATACAGCACGATAAGGCCATTTGGTTCCTTGGGCTCCTGCCACTTCAAGTGCACGGTGTTTTTTTCCACCAGCTCATGGGTAACCGGCCCCACGATGTCATCGGCCTTAGCTGGAACCAAGGTCAGGATTAACTATAGTGCTTACGGCATATCTTTTACAAAAAGCAAAACTGTTGGTATTAACACATCATCTTTTTGTATGGAGGGTAACAAAATCACTGTATTTATGTGGTGTTTTTCTATCGCAGCTAAGTCTCACAGAAACCAACCAACAAAACAGCCTTTGGAGCATATGCTCCTCACCTGTGTCAAATGCAAGAGGAGTTTAGGAAGATAATTACCTTCTGGCATGGTCCTGGCACTGACGTAGGCTGCAACGCTGCAGCGGGATTCCTGAGCATCATGGTTACAAGCGTGGAGCTCAATGCGATACCCCGTAAAATGCCGCAGGCCTGAGATAACCAGGGACTCCTTCGACTTCACTTTTTCAAAGGGTTTCTGCTCGTCGCTGTTCTCGGACGCTGCCACGGAGGCGTTTGGAGAGGACGGGATGGTGGGGATCACCACGGTGGCGTTTGCCACGGAGCCAAGGTCCCGCCGTTTTCTTGATGGCCTGTCAAGTATCACAGGTTAAAGGGTTATTTGTCATCTTCAGTGCAAACACATTTGGCTGCAAAGAAAGCCATGAGCTGGACACTTCAGAGTCAACCCAAATTCAAACCCTCAAATTCAAGCCTCATTTCCACTGCAACAACAGCCAAGAAATCCATTTAGACGCTTTTAACCTTGTCATGAGACCAAATATGAAGTGCTTTCCAACAAACAGTTAAAATAAAGATTCACATTACATATATAAATATACATATATTCATTGTGCTGTTTGTTAAATAAAGATTGCCTCTCCAACTATCACACGTTAGTCTAAAAATCAGTTTCTGCAATTGGGAAAATAAAATAGTGTGAACTGGTCAATGGCCCTGTCTGCAAGAGAATGCTACAAGCCAACTGTAATGTCAGATTAGGTTAAATAACAAAATAAAACAAGCAAAATTCAACCCAACAGAACTAGGAACTATTGAAATAAAACCTTAGTTTCCTTGGAGGAAGGAAGAAGAAAAAAAATCCAATATCAAACTTAAATCTCTTGTTCTAATATTAAGACAGCAACACTTTATTACCTCTACACACTCGCAAACAGGAATGCCGGGTTGGGAAATAAGCACCTGGAGGAATTTGTTATATTACTCATTTACACAAAAGGAATTAATGCCCTCTGAAAAGCAGATCATGTATTTTAAGAGGATGATGATCTTTTTTGGCGTGTGCATGTAGCTATTAAAGGGTACAAAGAGTGACCTGAACTGACCCACACTTGAGGCATCTCGAGGCATCTCGAGGCTATAAAACACAACAAGCTGCTGAAGCTGCTGAACTTTGCAGTCCAGCCCCTGATATCAAGCAAATCACTGGCCAACCTGCACTGCAAAGCAGATCTGGAGACGGATCGAGTCTTTGCCTGCAACACAACCATCTTCCACTTATATTTTCCACTCAAACTGCAAATGCAGCCATAAGGAAAGCAGACTTTAAGATCTCCTCACACTAAACAGCACCTTGCATACAGTAACATATGCATGTTTGACCACCAAAAGCAGCCATGCCAAGTGGCAGGTTCAGCAGAGCACATTCCAGGTTTTAGTTTTTTTCTTCCTGTAATTACTAATTAACCCCAGGGACATCATTTTTAAGTTGCTGTTATCTCCACTCATGCATTGTTCTGAAGAGAGCCCCCCAACAATGGGGCAGAGTTCAAAGATCTGGGTCTGGGTGACACCACCTTCCTCCTTTCAGAGGGCCCTTTATGGTCAACCAGAAGCGTGGCTGTCCTTACAAAGCTACACCCTGCTGCTCACAAAGTGTGGATTCAGCTGTTCCTCATCTTTAAGATATGTTTTTCACAAGCGAAACAATAACCAGGCCAATGATGCAACACAACAACAACTTCTTTTCTTCTTGAGTAACAGAAAGGAAGGAACACTTTTGAAGCAGTTAAGCCCAGACCTTTATGTATTTACCATCCTAGATTTGCCACAATTTTCTTGACGAGCCCGGGATGTGTTTTCAAGCATCTAACGTCTTCCCACAGCTGCTCCAACGCAACTTTCATTGCGACTCGTAGCCGTTTCAGTAGCTCCTGGGAGCTGCCATGTGAAATGCTCAGCCTTGGATTCCTTTGCCTCCTACTACTGGAGATGACCAGCACTGGAAGGCTCCCAGAATAGCAGCCCCTTAATTCTCCTCAGCCTCTCAGGACTTTTAGTACTTTTGAACATTTTCTATGTTTTTCACAGAAGGACCAAGCTGGAAGTGACCTGTGGCAAGCATCTAGCCCAACCCTTTGCTCAAAGCAGGGGCAACCAGAGCAGCTTGCTCAGGACTCGGTCCTCTGGACCTAGAGATCTCCAGGAACACAGACCCCACAGCACCTCTGGGCATCCTATTCCAGGTTTCAATCACTCTTTTGCTCCAACCTGAAAAACTTCTCAATACAGAATAAATAACACAAAAAAATAAATAAATAAATAAATAAAATAAAATAAAAATAAAAATAAAGCATCCGCTTCCAATGGTCACTTTGTTAGCTACAAGGGGATGGTACAAAGCACATGGCACCAAGATACTAGCTCCAATGGGGAAGATGGGTACGACAAGAAACATTCAGAAACTTCTCATTTGCCTTGCCAAAGCCAAAACAAAATAACCCATGAGACCTGCAGCTCTCAGAGTATCCCGCTATGTGTGCACAAGGCAAAGGAACAGCTCTGGGATTCCCAAAGGGCTGCTGAGAGAGTCAGGTTAGACCAGACCTGGAATGAGGCAGAGCACGGCAGGTCTGTGGGACAGCCTAGGGCCGAGGGGACAGTGCACAGGGATCAGGTAACTGGGAACGGACAGAAGGAGAAACAGAGGACATGGAAAACAAGGAGAAAGGACGGAGACAGTGCAACTTCTCAGCTGCTCTGCTGTCTTCTCTGGCCCTGCCATTTCCCACTCTGCTGGTCTCATCTTTGAGGTTCTTCTCAGGGACTTTCTCTGTTCTTCCCTTCCAGGAAGAGGCCACAACAGCGCCTCGAGAGAGGCTGAGAAATGACCAGAAGCAGTATCTAAAAGAACCTGAAGTCAAACACACTTCATGTTCAGTTGCCAGGCCGTATAGAGGGTCTCCTACGAGCTGGCAAAGGGCTCAGTAATCTCATTAATTTGCCACAGCCTGAAACCTGTGAGGAAAGACAAGCAGGCTGTGCGTTAGCAGGACAGCGTCTCTGCTGCTCACTTATCGTGACGGCCAAGGTAGGTTGTATTAAAATGATTAATCTGTCTAGGAAAGGTGATTAAGGTGATTTCTTCCTTCGCAGGCTGACAAGGTGGCACATCCTGGTGATTGGTTTCTTCCTAAAATACCTACCCCAGAAACTGGCCTGAGAAGCATCCTGAGTTGGCTGCACAATAGGATTGAGAAAGAGAAAAAAATAAAAATCAGATCATCAGAATTGTTTGCCTACATCCAAAGGAATTTGGCCTCCCTGCATGGCTTGGTTTCCCTTTGGTCTGGAATGTGCTGCATCCCGGGCATCACTTTGCACACTGAAACTTGTGCTGATGAGCACTAACAGCAAGAAATAGCACGGGAGCAACTGCACGAGCTTCCGTGACAGCAGCAGGCAGCAGCCAGGCTCACCACGAAGAGATACTGGCTAAGAATGCACCCTCATGAGAAAAAAAAAAAGGTTCATTGACCTTTGTCAAGGAGCTACAAACAACTGTTTAGCCAAATGCAGCAAGCGGAGAACAAATGTAGCACAAATACACGACAGCGCCAAGAGTAAATTGTTACTCCCAGTTACTCCGTGAGTTGCACATGAAGTGTGAAGAATTTCAACACCACTTAATGTGACACTGTGCGTGCCATGCAAAACAGGACATTTACCACCCACAGCATTGCCTTCCTCATGGTATTGGAGGTACTTCCCGGGCTGAGTGCAAGAAAGAGCGCAAATATCGTGCTGAAGGACAAGGTTGTGGCGTGGAAAACTTCCCTTTTTCTTTTTTCAACTCGATAAAAAGCTAGACCACAAAATTCTAAGAAGAAGAAAAAGAAAAAGGCTATTTCTGCCACCACACAAGATTAGATGAGCTACAGTACAGGTTTTTAGCTATTTGTTGAGGATTCTCACTTTACTCTCAAGCTAAGGAGAATTCAGATCAGGAAGCACAGCAGGATCTTCCAAATCTGTAACATCACTTGGAGGTGCTCAGCGTTCACCAGACTCAAATGTACAGAATCAGCTGGATGAGATAGTGTCAGGGAAGCCCGGAGAAGTTCTGTTTAATAATTACATTTCTCTACCCCACATCACTTAGACAATAACTTTGCCTATTTTTACCTGGGGACAAACACCTCATTGTGAAGATAGTTCTCAAAGGTCTTGCGGAAGGCAGATTCTTCCAGCTCCTTTTGTATTTGAGAGTCCGTTTTAGGGCAGGAGCAGCAGTCTCCACTGACATCCTCATTCTCACTTTGATTGTATTTCTGAGGGTCTTCGGATTCAAAAGGCGGCGACCACGTCCTCGAGGGCAGTTTTAATCCTACGGACAAAGCCATTTAATGTCATTCTCCTACTTGACAAGGTAGGAGCAGATTTGAGTCTACCGTGAGGCAGCAGCCAATAGGTAAGATCCCAAACTAGTGTATGCTACATAGCACATTATGGTATCGTGAACAATCACACCCAAACTGGAGCAATTTCCCCCTTTTGTATGACAGGTCTTTGATTCAAATCGATGCTAGTTTTGGAATAAAAAGCTCGGATGTCATTGCAGCCAAGCAGAATCCCTTGCAAGATAGGCACAGAGACACACACTCACCCTTTAGGCAGTAATCCAGCTCGTAGAGCTCGCTGTCTTCTGCCTGCTGCTGCCAGAACACCAGGTAGTGAGTGATGTTCCCATTGGGCTCGGACGGCGGTTTCCATTTCAAAATGATTTGGGATGAAGAATTAGAGACGGATATCGGATCTAACGGGACTGAAGGAACTGCAGAGGGAAAAGAAGAAACTTCCTATGAAATTAAACTTCCTATGAAATTAAAGCCATGGAAAGCCATGGACATGGAACTATCACAACTGCCAGTCCAAAGGTGAATTTCTTCTATTATTCGCTTTGCAAGGCAACAAGACTTTAACGATACTGACCAGTAGCATTGGTCTGGACGTAAATAATTTCACTCTTTGCACCATACGTCCTGCGTTCGTCTGAAAAGGTGACGAGGGTTTTAACAAACACGGCATACTGCGTCCATGGCTTCAAGCCCCTCAGCAGCCAGCCTGGCTGGGCTTGGGCTTTGGGCTCGTTTGACCGTGGAGGAGGGTCAACATCCACAACTGTCCAGCTGTTCGACCCACAGGCATCTTGGCCATCAAACTCCGTCACGTTTTGGTAGGGACTTGAAAAAATAGGGGATAAAAGAGAAGTCTCAAATTAACACAATCCTGAGGCACAGTGAGTTTTGCAACCCAGTCTAACACTGTCACAGATCAGAAGCTGGCCCACAAACAATCCAGGCTCGCTATTCTGAGCTTGAAAAAAGAAAAATGATGAAAATAAGCTTGATAGTCCTAATTTTTAAAGAACGGTTCCCATCTAAAATGCAGCAGGTATCTCATCATCCTATAAATATGGGGAGATGACAAAGTACAACTCCACAGTTAGAACACACGTGGATGTTTAGAACAGTTGGAACAACTACTGTTGGATTGCCCTTAAATGAGGAATATCGACTGCATGCAACTCAATTAAGTCAGGGTTCTTAATTAGCACCGAAATAAATAGGTAACACAGGAAGTTTAAGTGAGAGAGACAGAAGTATCATAGAGACTGAAGAGCTACGTCCTCAACAGGTTTAATGGTTACTCTTTGAAGCCAACTGTCATTTGAGGAAGCCCAGCATGGCTGCTGTTTTGTACCCCCTCCTTAAGCTTCCACTTACGCTTCTTTGTAGAAAAGCATAAATCCCAGGAGGTCACGGAAATCTGGAGGCCAGTATGGCTCCCACTTCAATAGGATCTTGTCATGGGATGTTCTAATAGAAGAAAATTTCAACAATTCATTTTCACCTATAACAAAAAGAAAAACAACCATGATTTTGCTGGTTTTTAAAGTAATCCTTTCTATTTGTAATTCATTTTTTGTTTGTTTTTCACAGATGAATATGAGGAAGCTTAGCATTGAGAAGAGTTGCTCATTAAAGCCTCATCTTCCTCACTATTTGTGCCTTGAGCCAGCACTTGGAAGAGATGATCCCCAGAGGTGACTGCCTTCTTTAAGTATTCCATGATTTTATGGAAGTAATCATGTACAAAACTTGAACTAAATTTGAGTTTGCAGGAAATTGAGAGTAGCACAGTTTAAAATTCATGACAATCTGCACAGACAAACCCAGCAAAATGGTCTGTGTGGTTTCTTTAGCCTCGATCTTCAAAGGAAGTGAATCCCTAGCCCAGCCTGGTCCCTTTGCAAGCAGGAGGGGAAGACAAGTGGCTGCAGGAGGCTGGAGTTTTGCAACCCAGGGCAATGGAGAGGAACTGGTCTGCCCAAGAGCTGTGCAGCTCTTGTTGGATTTGCCAGTCCTGCACGAGCTGCACGAGGGAGGAAACGCATTCATCTCCCTGGCACCACATCCAGCCCAAACAAGGGCTTTTTTATAAACAGGATGCTGCCAACATGAAAACCAGGCTTGAAGCAAAAACAAACAAAAAAGCCAAGCACGCTGGCAACACGTGGCCTGGCGGGGGGGAGGCGAGGAGAACAGCGCAGCAGAGCCCAGCTAAAACTGGCTAGGAAAGGCAGCTGTCTCCTCCTGCTGCCGCTCTGAAAGCAAAGCGGCCAGCTGGCACGGGCACCACGATGACCCGCACCCCAATTCCTGGCTTGTCCCCAGCCATGGGGAGAGCTTGGTGAGGACTCGTGGGAAAAGGTGCCTTTGCAGAAAGTTGATCCTTGGAAGAGTTTTCCTCTTCCCCAGCCCCAGGGCTGGGGTGCAGGAGGTGCTCGTGGTGGCCACGCTCTGAGTGGTGCTTTAGGGGACTTTAGGGACAGAGTGCTGGAAGCAACATTGCTCCTTGGCCGTGTCGACACCTTAGTGCTGTTGTTGAAGGTAGCTGCCGGCTTAAAGCACAACAAAATGTGCAGGAAAAATGTCTCCAACTGTTGTCATAGCAACTCCCTCGGATGGCTCCAGAGATGGGTGAAAATACCGTTCCTCTGCTGTGTTTGCTCTCCGTGCATGCTGTCCCTTCACAACAGGCTAAGAGAAGATTATATTAATCAGGTCCTAAGCAGTAAGTCTAAGTCCTAACTGGACTAAGGTTATACCGTGCTAAACTCTTCTGAAGGACACAACCATGCACTCAAACCCGAAAAGCTCGTAGCTGAGCACACAAAGAGGAGAGCTTGGAAGACCAAAGCTGGCAAGGCAAATTCGTGGCCAGAGGTAGAACCTGTGCGTGCCTTTACTCATGGCATATTGACAATGTCACCTCAGCGAACGAGCAAGTGGCAGGTCACATGGCTGGGGCTTTAGAAGGACACAACGACAACCTCTGAGGAGGCCTATAGCCTCAGCATGGAGAATATTAAAGATTAGCAAAGACGGGGGGAAAGGAGAGCGATACAACTTCTTCCTGCGTTTGGAAGCTTTCTTACATGAGGCTTGGTCACCATTGGTCTTCAGGGCTATGTCATTCCTTTCCTGACGCCCCTTAGTCCCAGAGATCTCCTCCATCTTGTGGATTTCTGACAAGCACAGCTTGGGATTATAGTGGAAGAAGAGTTTGCCTCGAGCAATGGTAAGGTTGTGCTTACTCCAGTCCCAAAGCTGGCGAAGATTCTGGTTGTCCAAGGCATAAAAAGAGTAATTCCTGAAAGCAGAAAGTGAAAATATTTTTCAGGAAGAGATCTTCTGAAAACTCACATTTTTGTTCTTATACACTGATCCAGACACTGTGGAAAAATGAACACAAACTATCTTCCCCATTAGGCTGCGGGTCTGGGGCTGAAGAACATTTAAGTAACTTGGGGATTGTTTACCAATACAAATCACTCAGCACTGGCACTCCTCGTGCTTCAAAGCACTTAATTAAAATACCTATTGAAGAAACTCACCCAGCTTCTAATGTTTCTCCTCTGATCAGATGTAGCTTACGAAAAAAAGAAAGAGAAACCAAGGCATAGGACCGGCGGATTTTTAGGTAACCTGAGATTTCTTCAATCAAGCCCAGATTTGCTTCTAGCTCAGCTGCTATGTTATCTGCAGAGAAGAAAACACTGGGTTTAGCTTTCTGATATCAGAGAAACACTGATATCAAAGCCCAAACAGATTAAACGGAACAGCTCTACAAGAAGCTAAATGACACTATAAAAATCAATAGTAAACCAAAAGAAAAGAACACTGAAAGAACCTTGGCTTTCTCCCCCCGCCAGCCTATTCTTTTTCTGAATCACTGAGGTTCATAAACAAAAGGAAAAGAGAAATTCCCCAACTCATGAAAGGTGTCATATTCACGGATCCAACACCCAGTGCCCTCTACCTTCTTAGTCCTCCAGAACTTACTTCCTCCACGGATATTTATCACCAAGCTTCCATTAACAACCGTGCAGCCACGGAGCTCCTGGGCAGATGTCACCGAATCGATTGTCTTCTCCTTCCCATAGTCACAAACCTTTGGGCAGGGTCCTGCACAGGGAGTGCAGTGCAAGCTGAAAAACAAGAGGTCGAGATTGGAGCAACGATGCTTTCGTGGAATATAATCTGGGGTATCTCCAGCAATCCTCAAAGGCAGAGTAATCGGCTCAGAGAGATGCTCTTCTGACAAGGGACTCCTCAGTGCACAGCATGCGGTACCCCAAATAACTGACAATTATTCTTAAAATTGACTTGACATTTCAAATTCCAGTTTGAACTGTGCATCATTATGAGATGAAACAACTTCTCCTCGCCATCCTGTCCATTTCTACATAAGAGGAATCAGAGCAAAGTAATTTTGACTGTCATGGAGAGCTGATCTATCCAGTGCTAAAGGTATCGTGGTTTCACAATTAGGGAACCCAGTGTCCCCTCTAAGAGGGTTAAATGTGTAGCTGATGAGCAGACGGGCAGGCCATTCATCTGGGAACCCTCTGATTGAGGATTGTACATAAAGTTGCTTTAAAAAGGCAACCAAGCACGTGCTTTGTGCTCTGGGGAAATACTTCTTAAAAGGCAGCAAGATAATTGCTTGCCCTGGTCAGAATCCCACAAGAATGTACTTCCAACTAGCTCAAAGAGGAAAAAAAAAAAAAAAAAAAAAAAAAAAAAAAAAAAAAAGGTGCTTTGTCTCCCCTAGGAAAAGCCCAGAGTAGTGTTGTGATGTCCTACTGACTGCAGGTCTGAGGAAGTTTGACTCAATGATCCTGAAGGTCATATCTAACCGTAATGATTCTGTGATTTTAAGTATAAAACAGAGACGATGGCTGCTGTTACACAAGGAACATACCCAATTTGGGGGCTGCTGGCTCACCCACTTGAGATGCAAAACAGGAAACAATAAAAAGCCCCGCTAGAGCAAATTCCCTGAAATTGTTCTATCAGGAGCAGATATATGTGAGCACAAAAGCTACCAATATTCATAGAAAATCTGACTCATCACAATACAGCACGTTGTTTGGGACAAACAGTGAAGTTTTTAGCAATAAACAACTTGGCAGTAAGAATTGTTTAATTCATTTGCTGAAAAACCCTGGGAATAGCCAGAATGGCCAGTCCCTGCCCTGAATCATGCTACAGTTGTTTGTTACGCTGCCCGTTTATGTCTGGCTCAGCTTGAACCTGCTCGATGAAAATAACTGCAGGGATAAGGGATAGATATTCTGAGAAGGATTCACTCAAAATAAGCTCTGCCTATTCTGCATTGTACATGTCTCTGTGTTAGGCTTTTCCCTATTCTGCTTAAAATGAAGGCCCTCTAATCTGAGGTCTCCTTGGAAGTGGAAGGGAGAGGAGGCTGCTAAAGGCCTCTCCGTTCCCCATCTCCTCCATCCCACTTGAGGGCAGGAAGACTCTTCAGACTTGCTAACAATCCTTTCTTGCCCTCTCTTGACTCCCTTTCCTTTCTGAACTTGAGAGGGGGGAAGAGAAGCCAAGTGACACAGAGGAAGACTAAACTATTGACACACGGCAGATAAACGCATCTGCTCCTAACAGCTCCAATTAATGAGGTATTAGTTTGCCAATCAAATTAAATTAGAGCAGACAATTGGCACGAACGCTTAAACGCTTGCAAGTTTCTCAGTGTGGACACCAAATAGGTCGCCTTGGCCCACGAGAGAGCCACACGAAGCGCCTGGGCAACATCCAAACTACAGCACGGCTTGTTCGCTCGCGGGCATTTGCACTTACTTGCTGGAATTCATGATGTACCCGGAGGGGCATTCGTGGACACATTCGTTGTTGTGAATAACGTGACACCCAGACTCCCTGGCGTTTTTGCATTTGTTGTGCAGCTCCTGGCAGAAGCTGAAGGTCACGCAGCGCCAGCCCTCGAAGCGGTAGTAGCCCGGCGGGCAGGTATCCACGCATTTGCCGTCGAGGTAAAAGTTGCGGCAAGCCACGCATTTCTCCGGGCTGTTCGGCTCCGTGCAGTCGCCGAGGCACTCGCTGTGACAGCACTGGCCGTCGGGGGTGCAGCCCTGCGACTTGCAGCCTGCTGGGCAAACTGCAAAGAGAAGAGATGAGAAGGGCCTGAGCATCAGAGCCCGGCAATGCCCGGCCACGTGCTTGGTCCAGCTGCTCAAGCAGTCCTCGAGCTGCCATCTGACCTCACAATTCACTGATTGATTTTAAATCTCCAGCACGTGGGGGATCTGGAGTGTGGGTATCCAAAGAGGAGACGGAGCTCTCCTCGCACGCTGAAGCCTCGAGCAAGGGATGAGGTTCCACAGCACCAGCCTTAAGCCCAGGACAACAGCTTACAGCCACATTATGGCATTTTATTTAATTAAAAAATTAAGTTCTTCACATGAGTACTTGCAAATAAGGCTTGTCCAGCCCTAAGCCTGGGGACCCCTCAGCTTCACGAGCATCCGTTTCCCACCCAAACACCAACTCGCCCCCGTTTCCCACGGGGAGCCCCGGCACCCAGCATGAGCACTGGAGCGCTCCTCGCGAGGCAGCCCGACACCGAGGGCACCCACAAGTGTTATTGCTTGAGGTTTCTCTGGTTGGCTTTTTAATTATCCCATTACTTAGCGCCTCACAATGCTTTTAATGAGTGGTTTGGGCTTTGGAGCAGACACTGAGCGGCAGCCGAGCTCGGAGCAAAGCCCGTGACTAAAGCAGCACCTTCCCGTCACGTCGCTTGCTGCTTGTTCAGCACCTTCACGCTCAGCCTCGCGGTTCAAGCAAATTGGACTTAAGGAAATTAAGCCCAAGTGCTCCAGCCTAAACATGCCAGGGAAACTTGGGTTCAGGATGGATACGATGAAGCCGAAGGCACCACTAAAAGACAGCCCCAAAAGCCAAGCCCAGCTCCCATACACAAGCAAGAGAGGGCGGGAGGGCAGCACGGGCCTGGAGCTCCTTGTGTTTGGGGAAATTCCAGACACACCAAAGTGCAGGGGCTAACATGTTATTTTTAATTTTTGGCTACCTTGCTTGCCCATGCCAGTGCTGGAACGTGGTCCCGTTTTAATCAAGTCAGTGCCCAGCGTGCGGGCTCCATAGTACAGGATGCCATCAATGTTTTTCTGATGGAATCACCAGCCGGGGTTAGGAAGAACCTCCCCCTCGTGCTGGACTCCAGCCCCTTCGCGTCAAAGCTGCTCTCGGGATAAGCAGCAGAAGCCACAAGCGGAGGGCATAGCAAAAATGAGCAACGTGGGGGTTGTTCCAGCCTGAAAAATCCTTCCAAACACCAAATGGCTGAAGTCGAACTTCTATCATAAGGTCCATTTAATCCAGAAGTACCTGCCTTCTTCCATGTCAATCAGTACAGGTATTTCTTTGGCCATTTCCCAAGATTCATCCGTTTATGCGGAACACAGGAGGTTATTATTAAAGTTCACTTTTGTGGTGGCAAAGCTGTCGCCTGCTTACAGTGACAGTTCTTAGTCATGAAGCCACCCTGTAGAAATGGCATCGTATGGAAGGGCAACGGGTAGAGAACCCCCTTGAGGGTGATACCTTGCATCGCACTAAATACAAACCCAGAAGCTCGCCTTAAAACATCCTATATATTCCTTAGCAGGCCACCGAGGGTGCACGCGGAGCAGGGGATTAACGCAAACGTGCAATTAAATTTAGCAATGCAGGACATCAAGAAAAGCTGTGTCCGAGAAGTGAGTAAACAACCTGGGGCTGCTACTAACTGAACTGCTCTGGCAAGCGTGAGGAGAAACCCTACCCGGCCACTCACGAGCAACATCGGCACCAAGACACAGAAGAATCCAGAATTCACTCCAAAAACGCTATCGGACTTCTTAATTGCAGCCTAATTAACACAACAGCCACACAATATTTTTGTGTTTGTAATGGAAACTAATCTCCCAAGTCCTCTGCTTCTTTACACATTAGCGCAGCTGCAGATATTCACAGAGCAGGAACTGTTCAAGTTCCCATCTCTAAAGGCTTTTAGAAGATACAATCGACCTGTTTTTGAATGGGAGAAAGAACGACACTAAGAACAATTAACAGCTTTTTATGGCTGTAAAACAGCTTGAAGAAAGGGAAGTCGCCAAGGTAATATTTTTTTTCCATGAAGCACTCAAGATAAGAAATTATCAGTCATGTTCTGTCGAAATTTAAATTGCAGAGAACCCCAAATAAATGTCAGCTAGGCAGAGTTTGCCCGCTAGAAAAGAGTTAAATATAAGTTATATAAAAAAGTAAAATAGTTGAACAGAAAATAGAAAAAGAGTTTCCTCTTTTTTAAACAAGCATCTGAAATGGTGCAGAAACCTCTCCAGCACCTTCCTTACTGCCTTGCTCAAGTCCTGCTGCAAGAGGCAGTGGTGAAGGCACCGTGGAAGCTGCTGCATGAAGAATTGAGCCTCAGCAGCGGCTCGGAGCAGAGTCCTTCATCACGGCTCCATTAACCTCCTCCTCTGAACTGGGCCTCTCAATCCCACCCCAGCGCTCCGCAAACCTGCCCCACGCCGGGCAAAAACCGGAGCCGGTGCCGAGGCTCCAGCCTGCGCTTCCAGGGGTGGATAAATATTTAACCAGCAAGCTAGCGCGGCTCCGAAACCCTGGGAAACAATGTGTTTTCCAAACCTTTCCGAGGAGGGATTCGGACGGACGCTGCTCCGGGCTGCTGAGGCCCAGCTGGGGGACAGGCGCCGCTGCCTCAGCGCCGAGGAATTCCCACCTCTGCGGAGCGTTCCCGGCTCTTCCCGCGCCTCAGGTGAAAACAAAACACCCCGGCACCGCAACACAGTGCCGGGCCACCACAGGTAGCCAGGAGATCCATATTTAACAGGCCATTAAGCTGTCTGGTTATTAGGTCCAGGTTATTAGGTTATTAGTTTGTCCAAATACTGGACAGTTGTTGCAAACACCCCTGTTTGAGTTTTATTCCTTGCTTTCTGCTAATAAAACAGTAGCAGTAAATTGTCAAAAAAGACAGAAAAGAAGATAAACATTGGTCAGGGTAGATGATGCTTTCCCCTAGCAGGGAATTGATTTAAACAGCTACCTCCTGGTGAGCTGAGCAGCCTTTTGGAAACAGCCGTAGTAAAATGCACGTTTAAGAGGTCCTAAGCTGCACATGTGACCTCAAGGTATGACGCTGTGTCCTGCACAGACACAGATGCTCCCACGGGGCTGCTCGAGATGGGATTTTTGCCTTGCAAACACGAGGTCTGTGTGGCCGCAGGTCAGCAGGGCCAGTGCAGCGGCCCCTTGGGCCACTGGCACCAACCAGGGTCACCATCGAGGGCCACCAGCACCAACCAGGGCCACCAGCACCAACCAGGGCCACCGGCCGGGCAGGCGGCCCCGCTGCAGAGCCTTCCTGGCACTGCCAGGGCCCTTTCCTTGAGCGACACCAGACGCGTTTTGAGCATAAACAAGGCAATTAGGAGAACTTCAAGACTCCCGTTCCCCTGAAATCCAGGGCAGGAAACAACTGCGACAGCAGAACCGCCCTCACCCTTAGCCAATGCATTTGCTGCCTGCGCAGGGAGGCATCCAACCACCCCGCTATCAGCGCAAAGCAAACAGGGCTTAACCCCTTGCAGCGCAGCCGAGCTGCTGGAAACCCCACCAGACGCACGCGCTTTGACAAGTGCTTGTAGGCTTTGCTCCTGACGAGCTTTAACCCACGAGGAGGATTTAGAAGGGGAAGAAAAACGTAGGCGGAAATGAGGATGAATCCAGCATTGACACGGCTTAAAATGGCTTATTTTGGCTGCGCTACGTAGAATTCAATGCCAGGGCTTGGGTTAGTGTAATGTTACACGGCAGGCACACATGTATAATTCAAAGGCAGTGTCCCACTGAAACAGGATCGCAGAGCTCGTCATTTCCCTGCCTTTTTCCTCGTACTGTACATGGCAGGAATTACTATCATATACATTTATTAAAGAACGCTCTCTCCTGCACGCGCGCATGGAATTCCTAGCGGAGTTGCCACTGCAATGGGAACTCAAACTTAATTACCTAATTGTCTATTAGCAATAACGAGCTTGGGAGAAAGGCATTCTTACAGCTCTAAGCAAAAATAAGCCAGAAAAAGGAAAAGCAGGGACTAATTGCCCAAGACAGTAACTCCAATGTGTCTGTGTTGTAACCCCAGGATCTTATTTTAGCACTGTATACTCTACATGCTCTTTCTGAACTTCTAGAAATGCTAAACACGGTAGCCTTCACCAAATCCCATATGGATTTTGCATCCTTACAACATCATGAGTTAAACCATGTTACATACACATAGACCTGAACAAAGGGCATAAATATATCCGTTATATACAGCCAAGAAATGAATTAAAAGTAAGTGTATGCGTTGCATAAAGATGAAGATAGGTTTAAAATTTGAGCAGAGGTTTCTCCAGGGAGTTTTGGAGACTGCAGCCTTCAGTTACCTCTTCACGTTCCTGAGACAAGGGTAGCATGTCAGCTGCCTGACAAAGGGCTGTAGTTATCAAGTGAAATTCAGGAAACATCAAGAGAGGTGTGAGCAAACAGTGTCAGTTATTCAGCGCTCAACTGCTTTAACGGCGTTTTTTCCTTCCGGTTGCCCAACACCAGAGATGCCCAAGAAACAAGTCCCCTCCAGTCCTATCTGCTCAAGTGCTTTTATCTCAGCACCAACTTGGGAAAGAGCAAGTGCCAAATAGCTTCAAGGTTTTACAATGAGCACTAAAATTAAAGTGTTATTTATAAAATAAGACAGAGCCCGGTACATAATGCCATGACCCCACTGAACTTGCGAGCTGGGAACGCGAGGAGGTCCGTATATACGCAGGAACAGATAAAATTAACTGCAGGTGCCTCCCTTCCCATGGACAGTGACTTCCAACAACAACACACTGTTACTAAAACATAAAAGAGGAAACTCTTCCCATTGACATTTCTCAGGACGCTGTTACCATTGTTATCTGTGTGTGAGTAAGGATAGGAAAAAATGTGTTGCGCCTCCAAGGCCCTCCACAAGTTACGTGTCTCTCTGGAGCAGTGGTCAATGTCTCGAGCTCAGCAGAATGGGATCAGGAATTGGAA